CCCCCCCCCCCCCCCCTGCGCTATGCCTGCAGCGGGTAGAGATCCCCAGATCTAGGTGTGTCCTCCCCCACCCCACTTTCAGCCCTAGATCCGGAGGCCGCAGCGTCCCCCGCCCCCTCGAGACACTGACGGTTCCTGCCCAGGCCCGCAGTAGTGTGAAGGTGGCCTTTACCTCCTCTCGCAGGCTGGGAGGGGGACACAGCCCGCGCAGCTGAGCCAGCTGCAGCAGTCGCCGCCGCCCTCCATTCAATAAAAAAAAAAAGCAACAACAACCTCTATCCGAACCTCCACCCCTCTTTGTAAAAGAACGACGGCCCCTGGAAAAGCAACACCAGTCCCAGCAATCACGGGTTAAGTTCTTTTCCGGCCCCCCATTCATAAAAAAGGAGCGCGGCGCATGCGCGCGCGGGGTCTCTTGTGCCCACCCATTCATAGAATTGCGGACGACGCGCGTGCGCACTGGAGCTCCCTTCCCTCCCATTCATAAAAAAGCCATTTTCCCAGGCAGTGGTTGCAACATCGCGGCGGAGGCAGCGAGCGGAGCTGACAGCGCTGGGCTGGCGCTGCGAGGCGCAGGGAGCCTTGCCGGTTCTTCTGGCCAGCGTCTGCGAGTACCCTGGCGGCTGACCCGCTCGGGTTCAGGAATTTACACAGACGTGAAGCGATGCTCGTGACTCTGAGGCTTCTCAAAGTAAGCCCGTGGCCGGTTTGGGGATCTGAAACTGACCCCCTCTGAGCCTCGATGCGACTCCCCCTCGGGCTGGGGCAAATGGTGCGCTATTTCTAGGCGCGCCTCAGTGTTCCTTCCCTCTGCCTGCGCCTCCTTGAGTCTCTGCGGTGCGCCGCAGCTCCCTGACGCTCTGGGGCAGGCCGGCACGGCGCCGGGGGTGTTCACAGCCTGGCACCGCCGTTTCCGACCCCCAGGCATTGCCAAGCCCGGCTTCCCCGCCCTCTGCCACTTGGGAAGCCCCGTGCGTGTCCCGGGAGTTTGCCTCTGGCCCGGCCTCTCTTCTCCTGCCACTACCCGCCTCGGGCGCTGAAACGGGCAGCTCTGGGCTTGGTCAGGAGCCACTCACTGCTTGGGTACGGGGGGCACCCTCGCCTTGGGCGGCTCGCCCACCCTCCGGCTCTGTGCCCACTACCCACGGTGCCCGCCGCAGCGGCCTATGCTCGACGTGGGTTTTTCTTTCCCCTTCGGAGCAGTGACGGACTGGGTTTCCTACCCTTCTGCTACCCCCTCGATGGTCAGCGCAGGACCGGCCCAGGACTAGGCATTTCTGCTCTCCCTCCCTTAGCGAGGCGGTTCCTCGCCGTCTGACCTTTGCTCCGCTGCTGCATTTTATGCTGTGCAACTGCCTTGTAGTTGCCTTTCTCTTCTCTGGCCTCTGCAGGGCCCGAGGCTCCTCGGCCACCCGGTGCCTCCCTATCCCAGGGCACCGAGCTGTGCCAGGCCCAGGGGCTCCTGGGCCGCGCTAGGGCTGTGGTGGGGGCCGAAGGTGCGTTTACATAACGCCGGGCGAGTGGGAGCTGGAGGAAGAGGTTACGTGCGTAGAAGAGATAAAGCTCCTACTTTTCCTCTTTCTTGGTGGTACCAGGCTTGACATCACCGAGAAGAGAGAAGGACAGAGACGGTACGTTCTGAAAAATTCTGAATCTCCAAGGCCACAGGGGCAATGAGGGAGGATGAGGGCGGGTTTAGCCAGCCAGGGCAGCTGGAGGTTGGCATCACTGGTGCCAGGGCAGTGCCCAGTTCCCCCTCCATGCAGACGATCAAAAAGCATTTAGACAGTAGCTGCTCTTGTGCAAGAAGATGGTTTCTCAATTTTCTTTGATTGGGGGCTGGGGGTTGTGGGCAGAGGAGGCGAAAGAGGCAGAAAATGGTTGCATGGTTTGAAGGGCTGAGGGATGGACGGGAGAGGCGAAATAGGCTGGAGGGGCTGGATGGTGGTGGCACAGGGAAGAATTGTTGATGCCTCTTTCACCAGCTGCTGGATGGGCATCCATATTGCCAGGCCTGGGGTGAGGGCAGGAGGCCACCTTCTGGCGCAGCGAGGCTCCTAGGAACCCCCCAGCATGGTTAGTGCTGGAAGGAAAGATGTAGGTTCAGAGGGACACCCAGGCCCTGTGGCGGCCCCTTCTTTTCTGCCTCCAAATCAGTGACGTGATTCTCTTCAGTTTGGGGAGAGGCCAGACACACTGGAGGCCAGAGAACCTGCAGAGAGGCAGGAGCGAGCAAGCGTATGTCTGTCTGGTTAGCTGACCAGAGCTGTCTAACCTTTCTGACCAGCCTCTCAGGGATACAAAATTGGAAGGTTAAAAGGCCCAGAGCAGTTGGAAATGTGGATTTATCAATCTCTTAATAAGCTCGGTTTGGCCTGAGGCCCTACCCAATATTGCACTGCTGGATTTCACAATGTTTAGAGTTCTCCGGATCTTCACACAAATGGAGCATAAACATCTGAAATTTTCAGCTCTTTTTCCTTTAGGGCGGGTGTGGGGCAGACTAGGAAAGGGAGGGCTGCCGTTGGTGTCTCCCCCTCTCAGAAGGGTGGGAAAGAAGTTGTAGAGATAGTAGAGATGTCCAGTGTGAAATTGCATTTCCTCTCTTTCCCATCCCTTGGTAGGGTCTTCATGTGCCGGCAGGGTCCAGGTGAATTCTAAACGTGGTGAGCCGTGCACACACCAATTGAGTTGTGTGGCCAGTATCGGCAGGGGAGGGGGGATGGGGGCATTCTGGTAGCAGATTTCTGAAATCTCAAAGGGCGGCTAGGGTGAGGGAGACTTTAAAGATACCCATTGGTTATCTGCCATTTTAGATTCTGAATTCAGAGTCACTTCCTTTTTGGTGGGATGTAAATGCCCTCCCGTCCATCCCCATGACCTTTTACAGATTACCCTCTGAAGGAGCAGTGTCTCACTAAAAGCTTTGGTTGGGGCTAGTGGGAGGAGACAGGACACATAGAATAAAATGATTCTGGCTAAAGCAGGGCATCGGCTGGGGACTGGTGGGCATTTGGAGCTCACAGATGTCATTTTTGTCTGCATCCTTTTACACATTTCCACCCATTTTTGGAAGGGTGCAGACAAAAATGACATCTGTGAGCTCCAAATGTGTGTCTCTTTGGAAGATGAACTAGTTCATACCCCTGACCCCCCCACCCTGGTAAACCTGACATTGCACATGCCCAGAGGTTTGGCTGACTTTCTTGAATAACAAATGAAGGCAGCCTTTCAGTGCAAAATTTGAAAGTTAGTGATTCAATAATTAAGGAAGCGGAAAAACCCGTTAACACTTTCCAACCTGGTCCTTGAGGTATGTTGCTTTGGGGTTTAATACTTTGGATCACATGTGGGGATTTCAATTCCAGTTTCTGATGGTAAAGTTCCCTTCGTGGGACATCTTCCCACCCCCAGTTTTGGGCCCCCACAAGAATTCTTTTCCTCAGGCTATCCTCTTACGTCTGAGTATTGGTGCCAAGAAGGCCTAGGAAGTAGCCCTCCCTCTATTCTGAGGAGTTCAGTGTCTCTTTGAGAGTTAGGGCATTTAATTTGGTTCTGAATCCACAGTGCCTGTCATCTGACCCCTGCTGAGGTGGAAGTTCCCTTGTGACCACAACCCTGGGGAGGATTCTTGCCCAAGCCTCTGGATTTGCAGATACAGCTGAAAGACACTGGTTTGGGATGTAGGCATATCAGGGTTTTAAGGAACGGGAATGGCAAGAGTGTAGAAGGTTCCATCTCATGGCCAACTGGATCTCCCTGACAGAGAGGAAAGCAGTGACTCATTGGAATACACTTTTGCTCTTTAAAAAGAGCCAGAGGAAAGTGATGAAGAACAACATATGGAAAGTTGTATTACCCCTTCCAGACCACGCTAGGGGCCAGGGCAAAGCAGATGAGTGGCTTGGCAAACCTGCTAAACATGGACCTTAGTTTCCCCATGCAAAGTACAGAGAGAACAAACTCCTCCCAAGGGGCCAGGAGCCAGCAGAGCCGCTAATGAGTGGCCAGGACTAGGGCCATGCTCATTGTTATTAATGGGCTCCTAGGAGGAGGACCTAGTTTTAAGGGCACTCCTGCCTACATAGGAGGTGTGGAGTGTTGCATGATGTAAGAGACGGGGTATTCTTGGCTCTCAGGGGTCTAGGGCCACCCTGCAGATCCAGACAGCTGACAAGCCTGGGGAATGTATCCGGGACATGTGGCTGAGCTTAAGAGGCTCCACCGTTCAGCTGTGATCATGATTGTTCTTTCCAAGGACAAGCCCCTGTCAGTGAAGGAAGCAAGGGCATTGGGGGAGGAGCACAGATGTGCTGGATCTAGAGGAGGAGGGAAGAGGGGGGCCCTTCAGGGCAGGTGGTCACTTGCAGAAGAGTGATTTCCCTTGTCGGCAGTCTTTCTTTTTCTGGTACAGGGAAGGGGAAGTCATTTCCTGCCCCTGTCCCAGGAGTAAGCTAAAATCTATTATTGTAAGTTCATTTCTTGGTGGACAGTAGGGAGATAATATGATCTTGCTGTCCATGGGAGGAAGCCCTTCCCTGGAGGTCTAGGGTTCTGGTCCCATTCCAGACCTTGATTTGGGCCAGTGGTTAGCAGACTCTTTCTAGCTCCCTTCTTTTCTGACTCTTGGATTCTAATTCCTCTTTAGGGCACCTAAGTAGACCACAATTAATCTGGTAATACAGTGAAGCAGAATCTTGGAGCTGTTTTGAATAGCCTGAAGGCAAAATCCAGCAAGACTCCCCCACCCATCTGTGTGCTGCTGGGTTTTGGAGCTCAGCTGGCTGGTTGTGGAAGAGGGAAGAGTGTGGGGGTTGATGACTGGTGATGGACCAAGTGATGAAAAGCAACTGCTTTCTTTTGTGATCTCTAACAGATTGTGGCCAGAGGTGAGCTCCTTAGCACTGGTGCTTAGAGGGATGTGGGGAGGAGGAAGGATTCCCAGACAAATCCAGCTGCGTAAACGCTTTATTCTCCCACTGGGGCCTTTCTCAGTGGAGATTGTCTTCTTCTGTAGGGTGTAGGGAGAGGTAAGTCCTTGGCTTCTCTCACCACCACCACCCTCCTCCCCTTTTTAAAAGTCTTTTTAAAGCAATAAGTCATCGTTTGGTTGTAGTTTAATTAACTAAACTGGGATGTTCTCACAAAGAACCTAGCAATACTGGTGGATAGTGGTGGGCGGCCTCTCTGGCAGCCTAAGGCCTTTATTCTGAATTATTAAAGGGTTAAACAGTTTTCACTGAAAGAACCCGCTGAGACTGAATGGGGCAGCTCAGAAACTGCCCTTTCATTCAGATCCTCTTGCCAGTTTGTCATTAGCTGACCTGTAGTTTTCAAAGTACAAATGTCAGGTTTTCCCAATATTTCCCAACTCCCCTCCCTAGAGTAAGTCAAGGGGAGGGAGTGGATGGGTGGGAATAGGCATCCAGCTCAATTGTGTGGACATTTAACATGCCTCTTGATTCCTTTCAGCCAGCCTTATTGAGCGGTCTGCAGCCTGATGCTCTGACCCCTCCCCACAGGTACAAATGCAGGGAGTGTCAGACTGGCTGGTTCAGACCCACTAAGCAGCAAATACAGAGCTGCGTGCTCCTGGGGTTTCAGTATCCTGCTGATTCAGTATTCTAGGACTCCTTCTCTTCCCTATAGTCGTGGGCCAGGAAGCTCCATCCATGAAGATGCCCCAGGGACCCTTAAATTCAACTTGATACGTGGGAAGGAGAGGGGATTCCCTCCCACCTCAGGGTTTCCTTTTAGGGACTGCTTTGTAGTGAGATCCTACAAGTATAGACCCATTCAACTTTAAGAAAACTAAAAATGAAGACATAGGGGAGTGAGGTGACAGAAGAAGGATGGCAAAGAAAACTGGACCGGGAATAAAGATAACTCGAGCTCTGTGCCTTTCTTGAATAACAGAGATTACAAACCCCCCAGGCTGCCCCCACTCTCCACACTGAAAATTCCCCTAATGGGGGTCCATCCTGATGTAAGCCCCCTCTGGCTTCCTTTCCCTGCTGGCTGGGTTACTGAGTCCCAGGATTTCCTGATAAGATTCCTGAGGGCTGGTGGCAGACTGGAGAGGCTGGAGGAGTTCATGGCTATGAAAGTGATTGGCGCTTTCATACTTCTCCGTGAATATCCAGAGGTGATGGAGAGTTTCTGCAAGTCATTGTAAGTCAGGGCTGCATGGTGAAGGTTATAGCCTCCCGAGCCTCTGCTGTCTGGGTTTGAGTCCTGCCCTGATCACTTGCTGGCTCTGTGACCTTTTGTGCTTACATTTCTTCCTCTGCAGAATGGGTACTCTCCTCCAAAGGTGATGGTGAGGATTAAATGAGAAAATAAATCATTGAGGGCTTAGCACGGAGCCTGGCACCAGGGAATATTTCATAAATATCAGCTGCTTCCATAATTATTATTTATTATTAGAAGGTTGAGTGGAGGTAAAAGTTCCCTTCCCTCATGCTAATCCATAAGACTGTTACCTAAAACTTGATAAAGGTACTTCTTTGGCTTAAGTGGAGTGCTGGCTTTGTTTCTCTGTCCAGAGTCTTCCAAATTGGCCATCAGTCTCTTCCAAACAGCCTAAATGAGGCAAGCCTTCTCTCTCCTATTTATATTGTAAATCTCTTCCTTCCTTGCAGGGGAAGCAGAATACATATTAAACTGCACTTAAGATTCTCAGTGTTGCTCAGACCGGAGGGTGGGTGTGACCCAGTGAGTAGAGATTGATCTTCTATACCAACTGAGAGTTGGGTTTGTTTCTGTGTGTCTGTGTGTGTGTCTGTGTGTGTGAGACATCATTTAGCTGTGTTGAGGGGTTATGGGGTTATCAAGCAGGCAGCTCAGGAAGTTGTTTTTCTTTGTCAGCCAAATAAATTCAGCAGAGGCTCTTAAAAGGCCCTCCTGTGGAGGGTCCCTGCTAATGGGTGTGTGAGGCCTAAAGGCTTAAGAAAGTTTGAGCAGTGGAACTGTGAGCCAGCCATTGGTTTTTGCTGAGCTGGTGGCCTGAAGGAATCCTACATCAGGGCTATGATAGGGAAGATACATTTTAGAATAGCCCTGCTGGAGCCTTCCCAAGAGAGCTGAGTCATTGTGGGCCAAGCTCCCACTCCCAGGTCTGGCCTCATCTGCAGACCCAGATGTTGACAGCTGCTTCTGGAGGGGGATGGGAGGCTGCTAATGCCAACATCCCCATCACCTGCAGTGGCTGCTCCCCGCCATGGCTTCCTAGTGGGACTTTTCCATGAATTGGGGAATCTAATCTACGTTCTGATTCCAGGGCCTATTAAAATCCCGGAGCATTGCCCTTGACTTTTGCTTAATCAGCAAAAAATGTAGCAGTTTTTAAAGAACCCCAGTAATTGAATTGGAGAAAGAGTGGATAATCTGCTTGGGGGAGGGGGGGAGGGAAGTGCATTTACTTTTTCCTACAACATGACCAGTCCCAAAATTGGTCCTGAGAAACAAAAACCCACTGCATGGGGCAATATAATATTTGAACTGCCACAGGCATTTTGTTGGCAGGACCCAGAGTATTCCTGACCCAGGTTCTAGAATAAGGGAATCACGTTTTCTTTGTCCAGGGGTGGGGGTTCTGGCTGAGGTTGTTCGCTAGCTCCTAGAGCCTTATCCATTGCATTTTCCATTCTTATGCCAAGTCACACCTTTTCCTCAAGGAAGAGTCCCGAGGTCTGGGACCTGAGGCTCCTAGCTCTGGTCTGTGACTCCAAAGTCATTTATTCTAGAAGCAAAGTCTTGGAACCCCTACTCAGAATAAGTGGGCAGTCTGAGGTAGCCTTCCCTGGAGTTCCTCCTGCTTGATCCTTGGAAAAACTCCTCCATAGATGCTTACTTGCTCTCCCTCTTTCCAGCCCTGACCACAGCATTCCCATGGGAGGCTGCTTTGATAGAAGATCTGCCAGATATTGAAGGCAAACTCTGCCACCAGGGGGTCTCCCATTTGAAGGTGATCCTTTGGTTCATCTAAAGAGAACATGGGAGCAGGCACTACCACTAGTTAGACTTCTTCAAGACTGGAAAAGTAAAGTGCATAAAGAAATAGCAGCATGTTTTAAGAAGGCAGCACCGTTGGAGCAAAGCCAATAGCTGATGCCCTGTGTGAATGGGAAATCTCAGTTGACTGAGCACTGAACCTTGTAGAAAAGACTTGATGCTTTTTGCATTTAGCAGTTTAAATGATATACAGATGAGAGCCCTGTGGATAACCCCCTTTATATCTCCTACATGAACTTTTCATCTAGAGCTACCTCTTTACTTTAGACAGTCTGGAAACATCCAAGGAAGCTCTTCTTCCTCAACAATTTTAACTATTTCTAATCAAACTGTTGTCTCAAAGTAGGAAAGTTATGTAATACTGAGTTGCCCTAGGAGTGTCTTTTTCCTCCCACTCTTTACCATAGACATTTATAAGTATGGATGAGTCCCAGGGGCCAGGTGTCATTCTCCTGTGATTAGAGTATTGGGATGGACTGATTGTGTCCTGAGTCCAGAGGGGTTTGGGGTTAACTTGAAGTGGGAACCTGTCCACATCCCCTTCTCAGGCTACCTTTGAGGCAAGGTGAACCTAACAGCAGAGGGGGAGGAAGGTCATCTTTCCTAACTAGACCATCATTAGCATCTTAAAAAAGCATTTACCAAAACCTCACCCCATAACACTTTAATCTGATATTTTTTAAGACTACTTATCTTTCCCTTCTACCCTCCTCCCTCCTCAATCCCCCAGGGTTCTTAAGATTGGGGTGGAATCTTCCCAGAGTCTAATCTTTCCCTTGGATTCCAAATTTTGTTCCCTTGAGCCAGAGGTCTTGGCCTTCTGCTGCTATTTCTTTAAATTGATCTCCAGTCGAATTCCAAATGTAAAGGTCAGCAGGCAAGGAAATGGCACTTCTAATAGAAAACAATGTGCACTTTCTAAATTTGAACCAAGCCGTTTCCGCTCTTTGATTTAAGTGACTTCCTGGGGTTCCGTGTCAGGCACTGCAGTTGAATCTCTGGCCAAATTCCAACTTAAAATTGCACTCTCTCGGTGAAATTAGAAACTGATCCAGGGTTGGCTTAGCTATTCTAGTAAATAGCATTTAGGCTGAATGTTCAGCTCAGCACTTGGAAATGGGTGATGTGAGTGCCCCTCAAGAGGATTTCCCATCTGAGTTGTCAGAAGCTCACCTACCAAGGGATTAGTAGCCACTGTAGTTTACTGCTCTTAGAAGCCGTAGTAATAAGTTAATATCCTGGATGTGCAGGCATCAGATACAGCCCTTCCTTCTCTTGTAAATAACTGAAATAAAGATTTTTGTTTATCTATGGGAGCACATAGGGGCTGTCTGTCATGTTTACCATATAGTCCTCAGCACCCAGCACAACGCTTGGCTCTTATAAGTGCTCAGAAAATCTAAACTGTTATTCTCTGAGATAGTGAAATTGGTGAGTACACACTATATGTCAGGCAATATGCTGGGCACTAGATATGCATTTTCTCATTTAATTCTCACAAAAACCTGTTTCACAGATGACAAAACTAAGGCTGAAGGCATAGAAATTAAAGAACTCATTCACAGCAGCACTGCTAGGCTAAGGTGAGAATTTGAGCTTAGGTCTGATTGCAGACTCTGTGTTTTATAACCATTGACCTATATATATCTTAAATAAGGAGCATGTTTTACAGTGATTACGAGAATAAACTCAGACTGCCCAGGTTTGAGTCCTGGTCCTCCTCCTGATAGTTTTGTGTGACTTTGGACAAGTTACTTGGAACATTAATTTTCTGTAACTAGAAAAGGGAGATAATAGTTGACATCTCTTATCCAAAATGCTTGGGACCAGAAGTGTTTTGGATTTCTTGTTTCGAAATATGTACTGGTTGAGCATCCCAAATACAAAACCCAAAATGCTCCAATGAGAGCATTTCCTTTTAGTGTCATTGAGTCATTGCTCAGTAACTTTCAGATTTTGGAGCATTTTGAATTTCACATTTTCAGAGTTAGGATGCTCAACTGTAGTTACGTTTTTTAGGGTTTATTGTGAAGAGTCAATGACTTAATACATTATGGTGCTTATGATGGTACCTAGTAAGTGCTCAATAAATGTTATTTTTACTATTGACTATTATTATTGTTGTTGTTGTCATTAGTAATCATTTAAGCCCTAGGAGATGCTGGAAAGTCCACTGAGGGAATTTAGTTCCCTTTTCAACTGGGTTCCAAAGGACCTGATGGGGGGGTGGGATGTTGACAGGCCACATACTGATGCCTGGAATCCATTCTCTCTTCCTTTTCCCCAACCTCACCAGGGCCCCTAGAAGCCTGTTTCTTGGCGCAGTCCAGGATCTCCAGCCCCATGGAGCCCCCGATCCCACAGAGCGTCCCCTTGACTCCCAGCTCAGTCATGGTCCAGCCCCTTCTTGACAGCCGGATGCCCCACAGCCGGCTCCAACACCCACTCACCATCCTACCTATTGACCAGATGAAGACCAGCCACGTGGAGAACGACTACATAGACAACCCTGGCCTGGCCCCTCCCAGCGGCCCTAAGCGGACCCGGGGTGGGGCTCCAGAGTTGGCACCAACACCTGCCCGCTGTGAACAGGATGTCACCCACCATTGGATCTCCTTCAGCGGGCGCCCCAGCTCTGTGAGCAGCAGCAGCAGCACATCCTCCGATCAGAGGCTCTTAGACCACATGGCACCACCACCCGTGGCTGAGCAGGCCTCACCGAGGGCTGTGCGCATCCAGCCCAAGGTGGTCCACTGCAAGCCGCTGGACCTCAAGGGCCCTGCAGCCCCACCAGAACTGGACAAGCACTTCTTGCTGTGTGAGGCTTGTGGGAAGTGTAAATGCAAAGAGTGTGCGTCCCCCCGGACGTTGCCCTCCTGCTGGGTCTGCAACCAGGAGTGCCTGTGCTCAGCCCAGACCCTGGTCAACTATGGCACATGCATGTGCCTGGTGCAGGGCATCTTCTACCACTGCACCAATGAGGACGATGAGGGCTCCTGCGCAGACCACCCCTGCTCCTGCTCCCGCTCAAACTGCTGCGCCCGCTGGTCATTCATGGGCGCCCTCTCCCTGGTGCTGCCCTGCCTCCTCTGCTACCTACCTGCCACCGGCTGTGTGAAGCTGGCCCAGCGTGGCTACGACCGCCTGCGCCGCCCTGGTTGCCGCTGCAAGCACACGAACAGCGTCATCTGCAAGGCAGCCAGCGGGGACGCCAAAGCCAGCAGACCTGACAAGCCTTTCTGACGTTTTGGGTCGAAGCCCCAGCACTACCCCCGGAAACTTGGTTCCCTTTAACATCTGAGAAGACTGCAGCAAGGCCAGAGGTTTGAGCCTCATGAGGCTTCCCTTGCTAATCTGTCCGCTCCCCAGCAGAGATCCCCACCACCTACATTTTATTCCCCAAAAAGAATGAAGAAGTACTTTGGGGTTTTTTTAGGGTCCTGCAACTTTGTGTCAAACAGACAGTGGTGGGGCAGGGTGTGGTTTTGGGTGCTCCCCGGCAGAGATCCCCACCACCTACATTTTATTCCCCAAAAAGAATGAAGAAGTACTTTGGGGGTTTTTTAGGGTCCTGCAACTTTGTGTCAAACAGACAGTGGTGGGGCAGGGTGTGGTTTTGGGGGAGATTTTTCTTTTTCAGAAGACAGAACACAGATGTGGACACATACTCAGAAGCCGCAGCTGCTTGAATGCCTTCCCAGCCCCTCCTCCCCCCCTCCCTGTCTCCCACTGTCTTTGGCTCTCACAGGAGCTGACTGCCTGGGAGGGATTATTAACTGAGTGCCAGGGAACCTTTGCAGAAGACCCTTGGAGTCTTGACTTGTATGCGTTCTTCTCCTTCCCCCTCTCACTCCACCCCAGTTTGCCCTCGACATCCTTGGGAAGGTGCAGAACCCCCTAGCAATCCCTGTTGTATACACGTGGGAGCCCACTGAGAGCAGAGCACGGCCAGTGAGTCCAAGCCTCGTCCCTCCTCCTGCTTCCCCGGAGCCACAGGATGGATTTAGGAGCCACTGCACAGTGCACCTCTCCCTTCCAGCTTCATCACTAACTCTTGGGGGTGTTCTCACCGCACCGTCCTTCGGTTCTTACCGAGTCACAGACTCGCCCGCCTGCTATGTGTCCTGAGTTCTCTACTCAGATCCTTTCCAGAAACTTTATGGGTAGAGAAAGCCGGGGTGGCAAATGCGAGACCAAATATCATTTTGCCAATGAGTCTGAGGCTGTGGTCTCTGGATCCAGTCATTATGTTTTATAGAATAATTAAACCAGATGCTAACGGTGTTTTAAAAAATAATAATAAAACAACTTGCTTCCTTTTGGACCACCCCCAGGAAGGGCTGATTTCAAAATCTGGGGGTGAGCAAACCTCAAGGAACACAATTTCCCTCCCCACCAAGAAGAGGATTTTCACAGCAAAGAAGAGAGGCAGTGCCTCCCATTGGCAGAATGACAGTTGAGCCGAGCTGGGTTTGGGTTTCTTCTCTTCTGATTCTGCTGCTTGCTGTCATAGCCTTTCGTGTACAGTGATGTGTCTGTATCTTTAATGTAAATAGAGAGATGATGAAAAAAGAGTCTATTTTAGTGTTAGGAAGCCCCAATGGGGGAATCAGAAGAGCTCGGAAAGAGGGTGGGGGAAGATCCTCCAGGGGCTACTGGGGTTGAGCCCTGCTTTTGCGCACAGCCACCCCCCTCCGACAGCCCCCAGAGATGAGCAACTCTTTCTCTCAAGGTGCTAAAGGACTCAGAAAGTGCAGCACGTCCGGTGGGTAGGTACTTGTTGCATGCAAAAGCTGTAGTGTGTCTGGTCCTTCCTCCCCAGCTTTTGCGTGGGGTTTTTGCTTCGTGTGGTATTTTGTTCCCCCTCTAATGAGAGGATGTGACCTGGGTCAGAAGAGCTACCCCCAGGTGACATTGGGAGCGCATTAGGCAGAGCGTCTGTAGCATTTCCAGTTGTTCTTTAGGAACAGAACTGCCTCCAGGAAGGAGGCAAGGAGGCTGGTAGCTGTGATTGGCATGCACCCAATGCTACTCAAGGACTTTTTTTCCTTCTTGAAGACTAGTAGTAACACCCTATGATTTAGAATAAGTTAATTGTAACCACAGATATTTATTGATTGGAGGAAGGGAGGGTCTTCTTATTTTCAGCTTTATTTATGTAACATTTGCTAGCTTGTAAAAGGCGAAGGTGAAATACTGCATCTTCCCGTTTTCTAAGGCTGATTCATGTAGCTACCCTTGCCACAGTTGCGATGGGTGTTCTTGCACAGATCTGAGGAATGGTAGGAAAAGACACATTCACCCAACCACTTATACTAACTGAATGTATCAGAACTGTACTGAAGGGACTGGAGATGTTTCCTTTCCTCTGATGAGGTGTGCAGGGGTGGCCCCCCCAAATGATAGCACGCATGTGCACTCTTTCCTTTTCCGTGAGGCCTGGGAACTTTCCCCAGGGCCCTTCCCTCAAAATGGCTGGACAGGAAACTTGACCCGGTAGCAAGTTGCACTTTGGTGATCTTGGTGGTATACAACACCCATTCTGTGGAGAATTGATTTACACAAGCAAGCTGTGTATGCACACACATGCACACACACACACTCCCATCCCACACTGATCCTCTACCGACATAGACCCTGTTTCCTGGCAAATGGCCTCTTGAACCCTGATTTTTTGTGTACATAGTTGTAAACATGGATTTTTCTGGGTTTTGGTTTGCTTTTTTCTTTTTTTCCCCTCCCCATTTTGGCTTGTTCTTTTTGGTTTGCGTTTCACTGCTGATGGATGTCTGCAGAACTCTGCCTTGAGTCCACCTCAGGTCCCTGTCTGTGCTCATTGGTAAAAAGGGAAGGAGTGAAGGAAGCATTCTTGGTTCTCCCAGCTCTGTTGTTTAGCAGTCCCTGAGCATTGGTTTTCTCAGCTTCTTGGCAAAAAAAAAAAAAAGAGGAAAGAGCTGTCTTGCTGGTGGACCTCCCCCTTCCCTTACCACCAGAGCCAGTCAAGGGCCACTGAGGGACCAAGCACTCAGAAACATGACACATTTCTGTAGCTGCTGCTGTCTTGCTTGGCTGGATTATACCTCGTCTTGACCTTTTTTTGAAAAGTGCCAGCTGGTTCTCACTTCCATTAAACCTGGGGTGGGTAGTGGTTCTGCCTGAAACTGGGGTTGGGGGACCAAGCCTGGGTTCGGGACATTAATTCTAGGGGGCTCCTAGGCTGTTCCTTCTACCCCAAGAGTGGATTTGTGAAGGCCAGCCCTCCAGTGAGCACCCTGGGAACTGGGTCTAGGATAGCAAAGCCCAAGCAAGACTCCTCAGAGTACCCAGCTGAAAGGGGTGGAGACCAATCCCTTCTGTTGGTGTGGTCCCTTCACAGCTGACACAGATGGAAGACCTGTATGTGACATGGCTGGTCTTTTCAGTGTTATGGATTCTGCATGGATCCCCATTGTACACTGAGTGAGACTCAGCTAGATAATGACTTGTCCAGGCTTGCACACATGAGACGTGTTGGTCTGGACCAGAACCCAGATGTCGAAGCATCACATTCTCCTTTGTGCTGGCCCAGGAGGTGTCTGATGGGGTGCAGGCAGTGCAGCTCTGTGCCACACACTCACTAGGGCGTCTGCAAGCTTCATCTCCCTTCTGGTCCATGCCTTTGGTAAGCGTTTTCATACACTCTCCGCTTACTGCGACAGTCGGTGACAAATCTTGTGTTGCCATTTTTTGCTGTGGGTAACTGCGTGCGGTATCTTATCTTGCTTTCTCTTCTCACTGTCCCATGGTTTGGGTTTCCTGTTCAAGGCTCCCGCCCCAACACATTCCCCCTTCAGTTTCCCCCTTCACTGTAGCCCTCTCACCCCATCACAAAAGTTACCGCAGAAGGTTTCCCCTGTATAGAATATTTATTTTGAAGCTCTATTTTAATAGTATTTATTTTAGAAAGTCTACTATTGTAAGAGTTCTTCTGTTTGTGAAGAAAAAAACAAGTTAAAAACTGAATGTACTGATCTAGAAAATATATATAAATATATATTGTTAAATATATATAGGACTGCCGTTTCTCGTGTTTGTGTGTTCACTTCCCTGAATCTTCACCCAGTGGGGTCCCAAGTTCATCAAAGAACACTCAGCCACTGCACTAAATGGAAATGCATACCAAAGCAGCAGGGAGAGAAGGGCTTCCTGGGCCAGGGCAGTCCCTGTTCTGCTACTACGATGACCTTAAAAACTTAGGACCACTGGAGGGAGGTGTCAAGTCATTATGAAGCTGAATAGAATACTGCCAGGTGTTGCTAAATCCTCTTTCGTGGGCAAGCTGTCCCTATACTGGGTATATTTGTAACACAGATGGACAGCAATCTGACCTGTCCATTTGCCCAAAATTCTGCCGCTCCTCTCCTTTTATGCCCTGTCGCCCCCAACAGGTTTTCACACACATGCTTCAAGAAGCCAAACAGAAAAGCCCTTAGTGATTTTCTTATTTTCACTGGATTGGAGAATATTGCACAAAATCAGTTTCTTTGCCCTTTAAAGCCTGCCATCCATTTAATGACTTGTCTTTGTCCTTCGAATGTACCTTCTGTCTGATTGTCTTGTCCCCCCATCCCCACCAATACACTGAAACCCAGCCACTTCTCAGGTTACATAGCTGTAGGAACTTTTTCATTACCTTTCGTATGCCAATCACAATGAAAGTTGGGCTTTATTTTGGACATGTGAACACATGCCTCTTGTTTTCTGAAAGAAAAGAAATTAATTAGGGTTTTTTTTCCTGTTAACCAATAAGTGGGAGGAGATGACCAACAACGGTGGGGACGGAGGCAGAGGGCAACAGTGGAGGGAGAGATCAGGAGCTCTGGGTCCAGTCCTTGGTTTTTCTGGGGGTCACCAATTATGGCCTCTTAGGGTCTTTTGTGAGATCCAAGCCTTGAGTTTCTAGTAGAGACTCTAAACGCATGCCAAGGATCCCTGGTTACTGCCCAAGAAGACACAAAGGATGTTCTTCAACATGGTCTTGTCTACTCCACAACTTTCAGAACAAAGGCAAGCTCTGGCCTCCATCTCTGTTGCCAGACCATGTGGACTGTCCCATTTCTTCAGGATAGACAAAGGTCAATTAGTGCTATAAGTCTTCCTTCACTGACAGGTAAGTTAACTGGCACTGAGGGATGATTGTCTTTTTAATGGGCTCAGTCCCAGTAGTGCATACCACACTTTGATTCAGTCTTGGGTTTCCTCATGGGTGGGGATGTGGGACAGGCCAGCCAGCTCCTGGTTTTACTTGAATCGTTTCAAGTGTCTGGAGATTTAAAACAAAAACCTACGTAGGGTTTTGAGTGCTTAAGGTCTCACCCACCCAGATGCTCTTGGGGAAACAGCATCCAGAGAAAAAGTTCCACTTGGTGCCTCTCGTCTGTCTCTGTTCCTCCTGGTTCCCAGTTATGAAATGGCATTGGGGCAATAATAATGGTTA